CAACAACACCATATGCTTCAGTGGTATAATGGGGTCCCAAACCCATGGATCAGGAGCCCAACACACGTCGCGAAAAGTGAGCAACTTGTAGAAATAGCTTGTGCTGAGTCTGCTGCCAGCCAGCGAGGGGGCGCGGGTGTCCACAAGCGAAATGGCAGGGGTAACATTCACAAGTAGTTGATCCAAAACGAGCAGCTCTTAGGTTGCCAGCTGGGAAAGATTGGGGTGTAGATGCACATTCCAACCTTCCACCGAAAACTAAGACTGAACCGAACAATCCTGGTTGCGAGCGAAGGAGTATAAGACCAGAAAGAGGTGTCTCAACCAGCCAACTTCCAACCACTGGTCATGCTAAAAGGAGACATGGGAGCCAATGCTAACAGAGCAACGAGTGGAAGACATGACCAGAGAAATGCAGCCCTAAAAACCCTTCCATATGGCCGTATCCTTGTGGTTACTGCCCAAAGGTAGGGTAGCCTTGCAGTACTGAGATGCAAACCAACGGAAGCAAGGAATGTCCGAGGATTGAAGAATTTTGCCACAAAGTTGCAAAGCATGGCCTGATTATGAGCGTGTAAATCTCTAATGCCAAGACCTCCATTAGCACGAGGTAGAACCACTTTGTCCCAAGCCATGAGGCACTGGCCACCTTTGATCTTCCTCTTGCCTTGCTAGAAGAAACCTCGAAGGAGGCCCTCTAGCTTGCTAAGTGATTCCTTGGGCCATGGAAAGCAAGTCATGAAATAACTCGGTATGCCTGCCAACACTGAGTTAATGAGCATGAGTCGCCCTCCCCGGGAAAGAAAGGTGGCCAGCCAACCAGAGAGACGGCGATCAACTCTATGAATAACCAGAAGCAGCATACCATGCTTGATCTTATGCAGAGAAAGAGGCATCCCCAAGTAAGTACATGGAAAGGAGGAGACCGGGCAGCCAAGCGTATGGGCAATCTCTGCTGCTACCTCCGCATCGACACAGACCGGCACTAGAGTGCGTTTGTGGAAGTTAATTGACATCCCTGAGAAGTCTGAGAAAGCAGTTAGGGTATGCTTGATCACAGTAGCCTGCTATACATTGCCCTGGAAGATAATCATCGTGTCGTCCGCATATTGTAGCACCGGAAAGAGATCGTCAGACCCAAGAGTATGTAACAGGTTGCCGCTTTGGAAATGCAAGCAACATAGTCTTTGTAGCACATCAGCAACCAGGATAAAAAGGTATGGTGATAGAG